GCCATTTTTCACATTTCCAAACCTTAAAAAGTAAGGATCAAAACTTGGTACAAACTCTTTCTCAATTCACCAAACTTCCACAATCCATTTCTACTCACCCCAAAGTGCCATTTGCTGACCCAATAAGGAATGGAAAAGAGTTGTACTCGTGTATGTGCATGAAAGAAGATTTTTGAAAAAACTTCAAATCAAACAAAACAGGTAACATAGGCCTGCATGAGTGCCTTAAATCCACCATATTTAAGCCAAAATAGAAACCATAAAGCTGAGAAGTTGGTTTCCGCGTGAGAGAGCAAGGATTCACTCCAAAACTTCAAAAACTTTTCTCTCTTCGAATTGAAGTTTTCCTGGAGTTTTTCTTCAAGCTGGTGCCCATTTCCTCTTCACACAAACAAAAGGAGTAATTCAACACCTTCAAAGCAAAGCTTGCAGCAAGTTTGAAGAGCCAACAGAGCATCTTCGTTAGGTATTTTTTCACACTTTAGAACTCTCATTCTAGGCACTCATTAGGGATCATTACTGGTGCATATGAAGTCCTATTTAGTATAGGCAATGTTTGGATTGCTTTGGTATTTGTTCATGTGAATTTCAGTTTGTGCACAAGAATTTTGTGGTCTATTTTCGCATAGTTAGAAGGACCTTTTTAAAAAACCAAGTCCATATTTGTAATCCTTGTGAAAAATCCTTTGAAATGAGATGAGAGGTTTTGATTTTTATGGCTATATTTACCCTGCTCTGGTGAAGCCTTCCCGGAGAAGACGACCGGAGCCCTAGCTCCGGCATCTGGTTGAAGGTTGAGGTGTTATGCTGATTTGGGCGTTGACCCTTATTCGTGGCAGTTTGAATCTCACATGGAGGCCATCTGGATTAATGAAACGGTGCATTTCATTAATCCTGGCTGAGTTTTGGCTAATAGGCCTTGTCTTTTCCTAATGACACCCCCTGTTTCAGAGGCCCATACGCATTTGTGAAGGATTTAGTTCAATCTTGTTTTACTGGGTGCACCCTCCACCTCTTTTTCACTTCATTTTATTTCATTTGTTTGCAATTTACATTTTAATTATTTTAAAATAGTTTTATAATTCATAAAAATACCAAAAAATATTCTTATGTTATTTTGAGATGTTGACTAAATTTTCAATATTTTTATTTTATTTTTCCATTTTATTTAACGTTTTTAAGGGAATTTATGATTTAAAATGTTTTATGGTGCACACCTTGAATTGAACATGACAATTGACCCTCATTTAAAAACCCCAAGGACCAAATTTCCTCTCACACTTAGGTGTTAGATTTAGTCACATTTGAGGGATGGTTTTAGGTTTTAATAGTCATGTTTCAATTCTTTTCCATCGCCTTTTTGTGGACCCTCGACACACACTCGATAAGTGAAACACCTTTCCTTCTTGGATTTAATTGGTGGTGCTTTGAGTTGAATCTTGCCATGAAATTTTGCTTGCTGTTTTATATTTGATTCATCTTAACTTGGGTATTTTATTTGGCATATATTGGAGTATCCTTCTATTTTTGGTGAATATCTCAAGTTCAAGTTGATTTAATTCAAGTGTATGCATACTTTCTTGACCTAGTTTTTAGGATATGATCATGAGTGATCCCTTGATCACCTCTCAAGCCTTGTTAGCTCTTGTTAACATGCTTGAGGTGACACCTGGCATGTTTGGAGGTCAATATTAAGTATAACTTGTGCCACAAGTTATGTTTTGATCTTGTCTTTCCACTTGTTTGAGGTGTGAGATGTTTAGAAGGACTTTGGTCCTCTAATTGAACTTGATCATGCTTGTCTTTGCTTGATGTTTTGATCTTGAATTTGAGGTATACCATTTGTGTTTCACTTCTTCCCTAGTTGTTTTGGATTCTTGTTTATGATGATTTGGTGATGATGATTCCACTTTGAGTTTGTCATGAACAATTGTACTTCTTTTGCATTGCTTGTTTGCTTTTCTTTACTTGGTCTTGAAGTAAGTGTTTGGTTGAGTTAGCTATGAGTTGGTGGCTGCCCCACACTCTTTCCTCCCTCACTTTTTTGTTTGTGCTCTTTGAGTAGCACCTTTTCTCTCTTGATGATTAATGGTACTTGGTTGTAGGAGCTTGCTTTCCCATTTCATCTCATCTCTTGTTGACTTGTTTAAGTTGACTTGTGTTTGTTTTGTTGCATTTTTCATATTTTCATTTTTGTTTGCATTTCATATCTCATTCATCTTCATCTTGTGATTGATTTGCTATGTGTTTACTTGTGCTTCTTGCCATGATCCCTTAGGATTCCTAGTCCCTCTGTTTAAGATGGGAGTAGGAGAGACATTAGGCTTTCAATCTTTTACATGATAACATTAGGTAGTATCCCTTTTCAATCCCAACTTTAGGACCATCTTGCATGACAACATTAGGGTTAATCAGTTCCCCTTAGAGTCTTGTGTCTTGTCTTCTCATCTCAGAACTTCTTAAGACACTTAATAAAGGTTAATAACTGTTGTACGCTACGAGCCTTAAGTACATAAGGAATGATGAGTGGGGGCCTCCTCTCACATTGTCTATAGTGTTTAGCGTATGCCCTTTGGGCGATACACGACGCATTCGCTCTTATGTCATAGTCTTTAGTGCAGCATGAGTTACAAACTAACTCAATTCACTTCTTCTTATAAAAAACACAAACAAAATTCAAACCTTTTCATCCTTCGGGATTGTTTCAGACCTAATTTTCAGAAAGAGTATGTTAAGTTTCTGTTCTACCACAAACAGGCATCATCCCAACTGCTGGAATAGAGATTTAACATTGCTAAAAAAAGACACCAACCAGTGGTCTCGTAGTTTCCCAAACTACGTTTGCTCTGATTTCTCATACCAGATGAGTACGTAGGCACAAAACGGTGATGTCTTGGCCAGCAACCTTCCCCTCATCACCTGTAGCTTTCTGAACTATGTTGACTCTGACTTTCCCATTGCATAAGGGAATACGTAGGCATAGGGCGACGATGTCCTATCGAGTCTATTCTTTTCGTTCACCCTCGTTTAGCAGTAGTTTTTAGATAGTTTTCACCCATAGTTTAGACAATCAGCACAAGAAAAAAATGGGATTTACTACACATGGGTTGCGACAGTTGCCCAAAAACTATCCTAATTTCTTAATTGCAACCGTTTCCACAACTGTAAGTGTCAACTGTCAGCCAATTTTTTGGTTAAGTGGATGAAATTATATAGAATCCCTTGGGCTGAAACGTGCAAGTTAGATTTCATATCCCACGACGGTTGCAAGAACTGACCTCGCTCAAAGTTCACGACCGTTCTCCACCAGCCGTCATGTTCCTATATACCAATTTTTTAATTCCCGCGGCTATGATTTCCATATTCTACCGCGTTTTCATTTTCTTTTCATAATGATAAACCCTTATCCTTTTCCAAATTCCATTTTTCTAAAATTGCAAAACTTATTCTATTGAATCTTAAAATCACTGAATCTTACTTCTCACACATCTCATGTACAAAGAAACTCAACGAAGGTATGTTTTACTCGCATTTATATGTTTTTCATTTCTCTGAAGATTTTGTTTTGATTTGTGGATTTAGGGTTTATTAGTTTTAATTCCCATGGAATCATTTGTTGATCTTGTTTGTTTTGATTTCTGGATTTAGGTTTTGTTTTTATATTTCCAAACTACTGATACTTCATATGCCTATCCTATTAGGAAATTTTTTGGTTTGAGATAAGTGTTTCATACTATGAAAATTTTGTGGTTTGCAACCCTTATGTAATAAATGCAGTTGTTATCGTTCATAAAGAAAGTAAGATAAATCTTTTTTGCATATAAGAAAAATCATAATCATGAAAAAGATTTGAAAATTTGAAAAAATGCCATGACATGATAAAATGGGTATTATTCACTGTAGAAGAAGCAACTCTTGAAAGTGAGTATTCAGAAAAAATGGCCCACCCTACAGATCCAAATTTCAACATTGATTTATCGAATGCGTTCTAATGTAGATCTCAAGGTAATATTTTTTAATGTTCTAACAGCTTATAGGAAGTGATACAAAGTAGTATTTGTTAATGTTAGATGTTAGAGATGTTAATGTTACTAAACGTCAAGGTTCTAAAATACAATTGCGGTCACATAAAGGTTTTCACAATTTTGATCGGTGCCGGTGTCGCAATACTGATTGTGATTCTCTCAGTGTGTATTAACTACAATTTTTTATTTAATGTAAATACAAGTGTCGATACCATTTTGTCACGACACTTTCGTGGTCACAGACTGTTTTTAAAACCTTGCTAAATGTTGAATGGTCAATATTTTTAAGGCATCATAAGGATGAAGAATATGTGCAGAGTTTTTTGGTTTGAAAAATTGTTGTATGCGTCATATACAAGGTGTTTGAAGCATCTTAGAGAGTCACTATTCTGTTATGTTTATGATGTGTTGTAAATCTCTAGTTCCTGTCATAAGTTTCTCAATTCTGACATAATCTACATAATTACTAACAATGTTCATAGAACTAGATGGAAACACATTGTTACTACCATGAACTTTCCTTGGCTGCAGCATCTCACCAACCACTAAATAAGATAGGCGTAAATTTAGTTTCTTAATTTAGTATACTTAAAATTTTTCTTTTTCTCTCTCAATTTTCCATATTTCCTCTTTCATTTGGGTTAAATTTATGAAATTTGCATTTAAAATTTTATTTATGTTCCTAATTTATCTTTTCTATTTTTGAAAACCACTGATTTGGTAGAGTAACTTCTTTCTTGAACTTTCTTTTATATGGTGTTTTTTTAATGTCTAATGCAACAAGATATAAACTTTAGGAATATTAGTTATTTTTTGTTATATTGTGTTAAAGTAGGAAACATTGTTGTCTAGAACTATGGCTCTATTGTGTAGTTAATATGATTTACTTTTAAAATTCATTAATTGTTGCCATTACAATATTGCCAATGTGCAGAAAAATATGAGCTGAAATTTTGTGCTTCCAATTTATTGATCATGTTCTCCTTGCACATGGAATTGGGCTTTGGAAATGGAGTGATTGATGATACTTTATCAGCTGGTCTGTTGTTGGACAGGTAATCTTTGTTGAATGACTATATTATCATATCCTTTGTTGAATATTATTGTGTTATCATTTTACAAATTTCGTATTAACCAATTCTTAGGATGTGGTAACTGACTGTTGCATTTGGCATCCTCAAGTATTTTAGTAATTAGCCTTTTCTCCTCATGTTTTTATCATAATGTATTTCAGTTTGGATGATGCTTAAATTTTGGGTTGCTAATATTCTTAGTTTTTGATTTGTAAGATCATAGAAATTGTAACAGTTGATGGATTTCTTAGGTGAAGTTGATTTTTAGTGTTTTCTTGTTCTCATTTGTACAATGTAGATATTTTATTTTTTAAAATACGGCCAAGTTTGAAAATGGCATTAATTTTTTTCATCATTTCTTGATCTAAATTTCAGAAATAGTACATTGCAACTTTAAATGCAGTGCAAGCTTTCTAAAATAGTTTAAAAAAATCAGCCATAGCTTTTATGAAATAAAATATAAAATTTCTTTGAATTATACATTTTCGTTTTCTTTTCTAAATTAGTAAGGCTATCTCATGGATAGTTGATCAAAAACAATTTACAGATCTTAAATATATTATGTATAATCAATTATAATGCAGGAGTTTACTCTAAACTGTATTTTTGACTAGTTCAGTATTTACATAATGCAACCCATCTTGTATCTATACGACTCTATAGAGCACCTCAAAACATGCAAAAAGTCTCTGACGTTACAAAACTTGATAGAATTGTGCATTTCTTAATTCCTATAATCTATATCACTCTTTGTCACTTATATTTGTTAAAAATGGCGTGTTCAATCCCTCCTTCTCTTTCAAAACTCACTGAATTAGCTTTGTAATGTTTTGGCTGGTCAGTCTAATCACTGAGTTAACTTATTAAGTCTATTTGTTCAGTGCAATACTGGTATTACATAATTGTTGTTGGTATGAAAAAGGTGAAACTATATTAGTTTCAGCCAAATTGTTAACTTTATTCCTATAAAATCAACAAAGAGATATTGTGCACAAGTAGAGGCTAAATATAATAGATCATAATACTGGATCATAAATTAGAGAAACAATTAATTTTATTGAGAAATTGCTAACTCACAATTTGCTTCAATAGTGCATTGTTAAGATTGGTCAAGAATACAGAATAACAGCATGAGAAATTTAAACAACACATTTCATATTCCATAATGAGGCTCATCAGGTAAAATATATACGGTTGTTAGCGATGTGGCTATAACGGTTGTTTCGATTCGAATATACAAGTTAAAATATATACAAGTTAATTAAGTGCTTATTCAAAAAGTGATTACCATATAACTTATATGTAAGCTATCTTTTCCTATAATCAATAGGGAATTAGTTTAAGCTCTGCATCAGCTGACACAATGGTGTTCCTATCATTAGAGATCGTTACATCGCTGATATTGGAACTGGTGTTACTGTGATTAATAATCTGGCTCAAGTAGGTTCTTCTCAAGGTGTTGAAGATATCACTATCTTACTCTCAGTTTTCAGTTTTTTCAATTTTGTCAGACTCCTTGGTGGAGTTGTATCTGAACATTTTGTCAGGTAATTTTAACACTTACTATCAAGCTCGTATCAGATGAAATTTGAATAGATCTGAAATTGTTTATATTAACTTGATGTTATACTTTTGATTGCGTCATATCACTTGATATTACGAACGATATTGCTATCAAATGCATTTGTGGTAGAAGTGTATGTACATCTTGTATTATAACTGGGGTTGTTGCTCTAACAAAATTGATGTATAACTTTGCTGTGTTGACAATTTGCAGGTCGAGAATGATTCTGCAGACAGTTTGGGTGACATGCACATAGATAATTATGATAATCTTGTACCTTTTACATATGCCATCAAAGGAACACTTTATCCAGTAGTTGGATTTCTCGGCATCTGCTACGGTGTACAATTTTCAATACTGATTCCAACAGTTTCAGAGCTTCTCGATTTGAAGCACTTTGGCTTATTTCTCAGTGCTTCTAGCGGTCCATATATATGATAATGAGTTGGCAAAGCAACAAGCACTTGGTCTCATTGCTTCAAGTGTTTCATGTATTGGTCCAGATTGTTTTAAGGTTACCTTTCTTATACTTGCAGCTGTGTGTGTTGTGGGTGCAATCTCCACTATTATCTTGACATTAAGAATTCAGCCTGTTTACCAAATCCTTTACGCCGTGGCTCTTTTAAGATGCCTCAAATGATATACCAATTTTATGGCGCAGTTTGCTGTAGACCGTTCGATTGAGAAAGATAATTGTTTCTTAATCTAACAATTTGTGACTTGTTGTAGATGATTCAAATCTGATCTACTGTGGTCGTGTTTTTTTGTTTCGGTTTGATGTTTGGATTCGTCATTGAATGATATGTTAATTGTTAGTAGAGATACATGTAAGTCCATAAATTATGCGGAAAGCTGGTTCTGCGGAAAAGATTATGAACAAGTATATATTCAATGCCTCCCCTTAGTTATTGGAAAGTTTTAGCAATGTTTTTGTAGAAATTTGGTAATTTACCTTGTTTGAAATAAAATTATATTTTTCCTTGATACTTCGATATATGTGATTTTTGTCAGTGCTTGCACATGAAATCTAATAGAATTAATGAAGATTGATTTTGGAGAAATTACATGTTATGACTTGGCAATAACAAGTCCAATTAAGTTTAATGTCATACTAAATTTTTGTTGTCTATTTTTTCACGGTTATGTGAAGGCCTTCAAAGAATGTTGGGAGAGCCAGTTTCAGTGGGCGTGAATGATCTAACGTGGACAGTGGTGAAGTGTATGACTCCGAGAGTTGTGATATTGATAGTAGTAAAAGTGGATTATTGGCAGAAAGTTACAGCAAACTGAATGTTACTCTCTCTGTGATGCATGAATGTTTTGAGCCCCTAAAGGAATCCTCCTCTAGAAGAGATCTGATGGAAGATGTTATGCTCAAATTAGATTAACAACTACAGTCTTATGTAAGATAGGATTAGAGGACGTTAAAATATATACAACTTGTACTCACTTTAGTTCTTGTGATTTGTGTTTTCTTAATGTTAGTTGATACATCAAGGTTTTATAATATCTTTGATATTATATTAGAGTAGCTTTAGTAATTTCCTACTATTAGTATTATGGAAATATATATTTTTTATTTTTTATAATATAGCTAAAATATTAAGGATATAATTTTTTTAAAATATTCGCAATTTGCGGCGGTTCAAACCGCCACAATTTACCTGCACTTACGACAATATTTAACTGTTGTCATTTCCAGTTTATGTCGGTTCCAACCAGTCGTGAAATATTCCAACCAGTCATGAAATAGAGTTCACGACAGTTTTAAACCGTCACAATCAACAATGAAAACAAAAATCAAAAGGCTAGTAACGACGGTCTTTAACCGTCGTCATCTCCAGTTTAGGTCAGTTCCAACCTGTCGTGAAATATAACGACGGTTAGTGTGACGGTTTTGGCAACCGTCGCTAAACAGCCTGGGGACACACGTTTCTGCGACGGTACTACAACTGTCGTAGAATGTAATTAATGGTGGTTTTAACTGTCGTAACCTGCTAAAATAACCATCGCAATCCATTGTTTTTCTCGTAGTGAATAAGCGTGGATCCCGTTGAGTACAATGGACGTGAGGGGTGCTCATGCCTTCCCCTTGCGTAACCGACTCCCGAATCCAAGATTTGGTTGCCATGACCTTGTCTTTCCCTTTATCTTAGGTTTTCTTTGATCGTTTCCTTTCCCTCTCTTTGGGATAAATAACGTTCGGTGGCGACTCTTCTGTCTAGTTTGTCGGCCTCTTTTTCGCAGTTGCGACAAGTCCCAACCCATATCTTCATTCTAAATGTGTGCTCATTCCCGAATTTACTTACAAGTGCCAAAAATACACATTTTCCCTTGAAAACTACCCATACTCTAACTTTGTCATTTTCACATATTTATCACTCTCCTATTTAACATTGATCATTCAATAGTTTCTTCTTTAAATTCATAAAGCGATACAAGCTCTAATCCCGCTTTAAACTTGTAATTCTTGTCCAACTCCTACATCTTAAACCTCTAATAATTTGGTTTCTTTGGCTGATTTGAAGCATTAGGGTCACTGCTACTAAGATCATCACTCACATAGTTAACGTCCATCTCATTATCCACACCACTAGATGAACCTATATTATCAACACCAATTGGTAATTTCTTTGGAGTGCACTTGTGTTTCCTTGCTATCATTTGTCTCCTGCTTCTTTTGCCCTTGACCTCAACTTATTTATCAATTAAATCAAAGCCATTATCCAACCCAAGAACACTCTCATCAAACGATATACCATTTTCGTAACTCGAAAAATAAGAACACGACCTTGCAAAGTGCAATCACACACTCGCAAGATGGACTTAACAAAGCCGCCACTGAGCTTTATTTATTCCCTAAGAGGGAAATGGGATATATCAATAAAACCCAAGTAAGAACGACTGTGATATTGGGCTCCGCAACCAAATCAGGGTTCGAGAGTCAATTACGCAAGGGGAAGATATTAGCATCCCTCACATACGTTGTATTCAACGAGAACCATTTGGTTAGTTGTGCACGTTAGTGTTAGCTTAAAAATGCTAGGCTTCTCGAATTATTAAGAGGGGAAAAAGAAAAGGACAAAAGGAGGATTTTCTTATTAGAGAGCCTAACAAGACTATGAATCTCACTCCTACGTATCTCCAGGTGCAATAGAGAACTCAAAACTTATGTAGTTCTGGGTAGAAAATGTTTGTTTGTTGGTCGATTTTAGTGAAAGTTATCTTTTATAAATCAACAGAAAACATTGTTTTACCCAAAACATGTGAGGAGCGGATGTTATCATCACATTGAATGGATTTACAAATCAACATTCACAGCAAAATGTCACTTATCTCGACTCAACTATCGTGGATGAAGCATTACTTTGCATCATCTTAAGACAAATTCTTTCGTGTTTGAAAAAGTTTTCAACGTGCGCAAAGAGAAAAAAAGTTTTGAATGTGTTTGATGTATTTTTGGGTTTGAAAGATGAGTTTTTATGACTTCCAAGCTCTTATAACTGGACCTTTCACCAAGGAAATATTTTTCTTTCAATTTAATTATGAAAAGTGTTTGAATATTTACAAGTGTTTTGAAGGGAAGACAGATGCTTATGTCTTGCAAGCTCTTACGACTTGGGCCTAGCATTCAGGACTACGAATGGACTTTTCACCCAGGTAATCTTTTTCTTCCGATTTAATTAAGAAAATAATTTGAAGTTAAACTTAAAAGTGATTAATGGAAAAAGGTGAGATCATTTGAAAATCAAATTAATAGTTCAAGGTTTGAATCTCATTGAAAGATTTATTTCAATAATGTGCATTTTATCTTGTTTAACAGATCAAGGTCTAGACAAGATAAAACTGATGTCTAATATAGCATGTAAATCAATCACGTAAGCAAGCAATCATCCAATCAAGGCCAAATTTAGAATCAAGACGAACACTTTGAATTTTGACCCTTTAAAATATCAAGAAGACCCTAATAAGACAAACCTAACAATTTCTCTCTTTTTGTTTTTTTAAGGGAAATATATTTATAAAAAAATGAATAATAAAGAAGATCATATAAAAAGATTAATTAATAATTTTTAAAATTCTTTTTATTATATTACTACAATAAAAAGGTTATTAGAATAAAACCTTGGTTAATAAATAAAAAAGATAATAAAAAAAGACTTGTTAACAAAAACTTAAACAAAACTATAAAATAAAATAAAAAGAGAAATAAATTACCATGGAGGGTGTTGGTCAATATGGGGCACTGAAGCCCAAGGGATAAGGCAGCCTAGCTAGGTGCTCAAACTTGGAGGCAATGGGTCAGGTTTTAACCCAGACCCGGTTCGACTTGGCATTAAAATAAAGCAAAATGAAAAAACCCTAAAAATGACTTGCACGACCGTTCCTTCTCATTATTTGGAGAAAAACATGATCTTAGCTCTAAGAAAAAAATGCATGATGGAAACGATGGAACAACAAAAAAATATATCAAATCTGAACCTCTCACTCATCTCATTCCTCTGCTCTTTTTGAAACCGTAGCGACACAAAAAAACACATCCATGAGTTTTCTTCCTACAGCAATGACAACACTTATAAACATGACCCTAAGAACACGCGTTTTCAAGCGAAGCAAAACAAATCTTCCAAGCACAAATTCAGATACCATCGAAAACTACTTAGAAATTCAATCAAAGCTCTTGTGAAATATCGACAGTTATTCGAATAAAAAAAAGAAACAATCAAACATTCATTCTAACTAATCCCAACCAAGAAATCATGCAAAACAAAATCGAAAACACACTCAAACAACACGAAAATGGAAAAGACACCAAATTTGTGTCAAGGATGCGATAAGTAAAGAGAGTTGGAGTTTCAACTTCACAAGAACAACATCTCAGCAAAAAAAAAACAAAAAAAAACGAAGACTACCTCAAACTTGGGATAGCGGCTTAGTCAAGATATGTATCATGGTATGTCTTCCTCTTTCTCCTTGTTTGAATTCCAACCTTCTTCTGAGCTTGTATTTGAAATTCTAACTATTACTTCAAACCATTGCTTACTAATGTGCAAAAGACCAAATTGTGCTACTACTGAGTTGTATCTGTAGGTTAGGAATTTTTTATGTATCAGAGTAACATGTATATGACTAAGGTTGTTGTCATGCTCTTGATATTGTTTTTTTGGTTGGTCTCTTGTGTATTAAGTTATAGCTACTAGGTTCCTTTTCTTTGTGATGCTACTGATTTATAGTGGGAGTATTAGGGTTTAATCT